TCTGAAAGTTGTGCCTAACGGCAATTGCATAAGTTACCCATTAAAGAGTGAACATTCAGTATAGGTATATCTTTTTTATTGATCAGAAGAACTATTATGGGTGTAAAATGAATGGTTAATTAAATGAATATTCACAAATAACACGCACACTGTCAAAGAAGTTCACAAAGGCAATATAAAAATTAAAATTCTTTAAAAAGGAATGTATAATTATGATCTAATTAAATAACATGTTCTGGTTTTCAACAACAGTCGATTCTTGCTGGGGAAATACAATCTGGCTACAGAGCTAACTTCATGCTGAGCTAATAATCTGGCTATACATAATGATGCATGCTGGGATATTATCAGAGTAATTCTGGGTATATTATAAATATTTATCTCCATCCCGTTGAGTTACATTCTGTTTTTCTTCAAATAATATTGGCTAATAATAATAGAGACTTTCAGCAGAGCGTTCTCTTCTACTCTGTTTGTTTGGTCGTTGTGTGCTGTGTTGTTGTCCTCATTAATCAAATCAGCAGCAGAAAATAAACACGTAAAACTCTATTTCATTTCATTTCTTTGCCTCAGTTGAGTTGGTGAATAGTCAGGATCACAACGTCAGCACTAGTGCACCAAATTAACCCTTTAAAAGATATTGTCGTCTAGATATTTGTTTTCCACGCAGATAGAGCTCAAGGTGCAAGACATTATTATATAAGAAGTTAAATAGCATCTATAATGACATCGCTATCGTTCTAAGCCTCAAAAGACCGACTAAGAATGTCGACAACCCTGGTCCTAGAATTCGTAGTTGAAGGAGGATACACTACACAGTTCTGACGTCATAAGTTATGAGTATAATACGAATACGTGTACTAACAATTGAACGACATTCTCAAAGCCCCTAAATTTTAAACGAGCGATAGACCGTCTTTGACTAGAAACACAAATATTACAAAACTCTCCACGATATTTTAAAACAGTTTAACAATCGTCATAAACATCCCGCTGACTTTGAGTTATTGCTTTATGAGCATAGTACGACATTTGTGGGGAGCAGAGCAGACGCAAAAGAATGATAATGATACTTTTTATCACAATGTAACCTTCATTATCACAAGGGAAAACTGCTTATAGAAGATTAGAAATAACAGGGACATAGTTCTGAATTCTGTATAAGCTACTAACCCTGTAGGTCACCTGATTATTACTTTAAATTGTTAGAATTTATAGCTATACAAATTGATACAGATGATTGCATTCGATAAAATTCTTATAGAACCTAACCAACTTTTAGCAATTGAGAGTACGTTATATAGACACAGCTTTATGGAACAACAATCACTGGTAAAAGTTTGATGAAAGTTTCGACGTGTTTACCCCGTCATCCTCAGGCACATGAGGACGACGGGGGAAACACGTCGAAACGTTGCATAAAACTTTAACCAGTGATTGTTGTTCCATAAAGCTTTGTCTATATATAACCAACTTTATCAGCCAATGAGCATTAGCTAAATTATCTAGTAAGTGGCTCACGTAATTGTCAACAATTTTACAATCACGTGACATTCGACTAGCGTTAAATTCTCTTAAAAAGTTAGATCCAATTTAGATCATATTAAGTAATTATTTAGTGATGAAGAACTGAGCATTGTGGCTTCGTTAAATTTTTACCAGATTGTTTGGATATATATATGTAGCGAAATTCGTTATTATACTGTTGATACTAATAAAAGCCAGTGATAATAAGCTGCCCCACCCCTACTGTGTTATTATAGCAATATTTTACATCATAAACCTGAATATTATAGTATATATTATCATAAACAGTGGGGAATATCTAAAACATAAAATATATAACAATAAACTCCACTGTTAGAATAACAGAATGTTGACTTATTGAAGCTTTACCGGTACACAGATCACCACAGGGACAAATCGTGAAATTTCTTACTGTTACTAAAAATGTCAAACGGTCAATGGTCAAAGTTCTGCTTTACATATTCAGATTTTGCTCTGCATAAAATAGCACAAGTGGCCGAATGAGTATAGTGCAACAGGGATACGACTTATTTAGATGTTTTATTTTCAAAGACCAATCCGGTTTTTTGCATAATGGACAGGATTAAAATAGTTGTAAAACCTGATAGACATTAGGTCGTGGTCGGCACATGGATGAATCTACCTTCTTTTTTTGCTCAAAGTCTCTTAAGTTTGACTGTTACCAAAGTCAACGACCAACAATTTTAACTGTTAACAATTTCTGTAAGAAAACTGCTTGATATGAAAAAAGAAGCTTTGATGGAAACCTTGACCCATGAGATCATCGTCCCCAATTTTTAAATGTTTCCTTCAATTAAAACAATTAGGACACATTTGGACAGACTATTTACAAATCAAGATCAGAATCGCCAAAAATTAGTTAGTGGATTTGGTATCGTATTCCACTGTTTAGTGATAACATTGACAAGTGTAAATTTGATTAATGGAAAACTGCAGTGACTTTGTCCAGATGCCGTCTCGTGTCCCGTCTCAATTTCAGATCAATTTGGTCAGCTTCCTGGTTTTGGGATAAAATTCCACAGGTTCACACTGTAAATAATCAATGTCAATTTTTAGTCATTAGACACCCAATAACAGGTGATTGCAATGTTTAGTCTGGTACTGGATACACCAGTCTATTAACGTAGATAAGATCACCAAGTAAATCAATCCGCCAATAATAATTAATTATTTAAACTCCAGACAAAACTTACACCTCACTTATTTTGTCTGGTTCTAATGTAATTGGAGGAAGGTTGTAGCCTAGTTGGTTAGAGTAGGCTACATATACAGTTACGTCATGTTTATAGCTGGAAACTTCAGCACAATTTGAATCTTACGTTTATTTCTTTATTTCTTACATGGAGATAACTGTGTTCTGAAAACATATTCCAAACCTTGACGAACTCCAATTGAACCCACGTGTAATTGAGACCAAGACAGATCTCGTCAAAAACCATGAAAATCGACAAAATAAACACCACATTCCCCCAGTTTCATTCCAGAGCTGTAATCATGTGTAAATATATTTTATTTCATTCAAACATATCATTTCACACCGTTTCATAAAAAACATCTTTTAATTATCACTAAGAAACACAAAGTACTTGGTGGGTTCTCTCTATTCATCATTTGGTTATTTCATTAATCGGTAGCGTAATCGGCGTTGCCCACCTTCATTATTCCAATCGGTGCACAAATAAACCATCATCCCGTGCAGATAGGTCTGAATTTAGAAAGTATCACAGTACAATCAGTTTGTTATCAATTTACAATATTCGTCTTATATTAACAGTTGAAATCCACGATGCTTTCAGAGTGTGCTTATAAACTCTCTCATAATAAACGTATGCTTTTTGTTTTCAAATTAACTCATTCTTTGTTGCTAAAAGTACTTCAAGGTTTGCCAATTCTGTGCAAGTCGAGGAGTATGTACTTCCGGAATAACAGTCCCGTATTTAGAATATCACTGTAATTTGATACGTTGATTTTTATGATTCATTTTGAAATTTGTGGACGTGTAGCTCGAAAGTACCCGTATTTGTCCGATCGACTTCTGGTATAATAGCCATAGGGTCTTGAAATCATGTGGGTGTAATTACCAGAAAACGAATACATTGCAACAGCTTTGGTCCTTTTTTAATATTCTTTAAGATACTTCCTTCCGGTCAAGAAACACTTTGATATGAGAAGTTTATTACCAGTTGTGTTTTAGTCACAATACTACAATTAAGTCAAGTTTGGTAAAATAACCTCATTAATTTTGTCTGTTGAATAGTCTTCAATGATTACGGTATATAATGGCCATGTGATTATGTGTTGTTTTAAATCGCCATCCTTTTGATTATTGTACGATGGAACGGCCCGTAAAATTACCAGGACGGAGTAAATACTATTATGGTAGTTTTTCAGATGGTCAATATTGTTGCCAGGGCTTGACAGTCACAGTAATATGACAAAATTATTGGTCTGATACTGGATTGTAATCTGTCCCGTCTCAAAATTCAAAAGATTTGAATACGGGTATGATTTAATTGGCGAATAAAGATTGAGTGATACACGTGGTAATGTTTGTATATCTGGTAAAGTAATTTGTCGAGTGAAATGAAGCGATGTAGTGTTATGTTTTAGGGTGCATGTAAAACAGTTCTTACTACATCTACAAGTATCATTCTAGCCAAATATTTTATTTTATTCTCTTGCCAGATGTTTACGTCGGGGATCATCTTTTACAATATTTCTCTTCATTGTGCATCTGTTAGTAACTGTTTTACTTGAAGTATGTATTGACTCTTCTTGACATACGTCCTACTTTAAAGTTTAGATTTATTTTTTTGAGTTTGCTGTAATTGTAGACAAATGAAACTTAATTAAAGGATAATTACGTTATTCTTTAGGCATGGGGGAAATATTGTCAAGGCAACGGATTTGATTAGTTTACCCTCTTTCGATTTAAAAACTGTCGATGGAACATCCACAATCTAGCACACTAGACCTTAGTTAATTATTCCAAACAACTATGACAAACGTTTTTTCCACGAAAGTCAGAAACATAGTGATGAACCCGGGTGTTTAGTTTTAAAATAGATTAATTCGACCTTTTGTTTATAATGCTCTATAAGATTCTAGATATGTAAAGACAAACACATACTTTTTTTGTAGCACCAGATGTGTACATCTAAATGAAACTTAAGGCAAAATTGTCAACAGTTGTCACACGGAGCAGTGTATAATCCTTCTCACCTGTTTCTCCTAAAATAAATGAACACTAAATGAATCGCTTTGTGTTGTGCATCCATTCTCATTATCCAAGCATGGCTCTCAAAGAATGTGGTGTCCATCACAAAAGTTAACCCTGAATGAAGTATTTTGCGATTGCGAGTAGCATATAACTGCAATATACATTTCAGTTGCATGCGTCTTTACCCATCTGGATCATCTTAACCTCTCAGCATAGTTCTGGTTTCTCTATAATGGTGATTGTAGTTCCAGATACACTGACAATAGGAGGTTTCATAGTCTATGGTTTTCTATTCCACGTTCTCACAAGATTCAATGATAAAATAGCGTCCCACCCAGGCTGGATAAATGAATGGGCAATTAGAAATCCCATGCAGTCGGTTGGTTCCTTGACATTACGTTTTAAAATATGTAAAAAGAGTAAAACACACGAATTAGTAAGCAGATTTACGAGCAAACGTATGTCTAATTTATTTTCCCTTTACTTTATATTCATAAAACATTCTTTTCATTTTCAGTGATTCCAGGAGTGAGAGGTGACTGTCCACACGATGTCACGGCGCAGGCGTACGGATGTTTTACGTCATACAGTAGTCACTTACAGAATATGCAAGCCAGCAGACGACAGTTGTGTTGTGGAGTGGACGTAGAAACTCTCAGGGCCTTTTGTAGGTGAGTTATCCTCCTTTCTTAAGTTGGCAGTCTGCTGTGAAAATGACATGCTTTTGCTCACTGCCCTATTCTGTTTACAGATCCACTTCCCTGTCTACTATTTCATCCGTATTTGAAACGAGTAATCAACATTAATCCAGTTTCAATATATAGGCTACTCAGTTACAATGAGATGACCTATCCAAAATGGCAATCCGTAATTCCTAATGGCCTTTGCCGACAAAATCCATAAGGAGCATAATGACTTTCGTGGGATATTTCAAGAATGAACAGAAACAGAAAATATAGATTACATAGCCTTATAAAGAGCATTTCAACTACGCAAGAAATTAGCAATATATGGGTCATGAAGACAATACCAAGCGTGCATTACACGCATGCCGTATCATTCATTAGAATCTAGAATGTAACCGAATAGATATATAATCTCTATCTATCTATATCCTCTATCATTCAATAATTCACTGTAAATCTTTAACATCAGAAGAACATTAGAAGGACAGGAGGGCAATATTTTTCCTACTGAAGTTGAATGTAATGTAATGCGTGTACAGTAAAGAGCATGTCTTATCAGTCATAAGAATCTAGAATGTAAGAGAATATATATATAATGGAAGCTGTACAGTATGTGTTATATCTATCCTCTATTATTCCATAACTCACTGGAACTTTAATAATAGAAGATTACATTAAGATAAAACCAATAAACATGTGGTCTGAACATCAAACGATCTGCAATACAACATGCTTTTTATGGATATAAACAAAAAACCATCACATATGTTCTTATTGATTTTTTATTTGATAAATATTATATATTCACCATGTGTAATGACAGATAACCTGGTTGCAGAAATTGACTTCCAGAATGTCGTCAAATCCGTTGGTGGGTCAATACACTATGTAATAATGCCAGACAAACATAACGTCTTTGATTCTATCATCTCTTTCAGCGATAATGCCGCTTATTTTGCACGCCTAAGCTGGTACGATAACGGATCAATTTTCACTTTGTTAAAATCTGTTATGGGTCTGTTTGACCTTCCTAACTTACCCAGCTGGTGCCAGGCAGGCAGGGTGCAGATGGCGTCCACTCTCTTGTAGATATTTCATTCAACTTAAATCCAAAATATAATAGGACAATAATGCTTTATGATAACTGAAATTAAATATGAAATGTAATAGAGCTGACCCACATGGACAATAATACAAAAGCGAATACCATGAAAACTTGACAGTAATCCACGTATTCGTTAAACCCAAAAATTGCGAAAGTCATCAGCAACATACAGTACACAAACACACCTAAATATTCATTAGGTTTCGCAGCCAAAGCTAAGGCATAGAGTTAAATTCAAAATTTATCATTCAAGTTTTCACCCATAATTTTTATCCGGAAAATTTTGTTAAAAAAGTTGCCGTATTTCAAACCTAAGTTTCTTGCCTAGATGGCATTAAGTTTAATTGTAATCGATGGTAAAGCAGTTTAAAGATAAGGTATCAATCCACATCTGTGTCAAGGATTAGGATAAATTGACACAGATGGTTATAAATGATTTCCTATCGTGTTTTTAAATTAAAATCAATTTTAATTACTGTTCTTATTACTAAGATATTTCAATTTTGAGATCAGCAGACTGGTCAACAGCATGCCGGTAGACTGTGGGATTAGTCTAATATTCCAAGGTCTGTCTGTGGGGAAATTTCATATTAAAATGCAGATCAATTTTTCGATTCTTTTTATAATTCCAAAATTTGTACGACGACATTTATAGTGTTAAGATACCGGTACTCAAATCCAAAAAAAACAGTGAAACGGGATCTTACATGCTTCTGCCCCTGGTTGATGAAGTGTGTAATGAGGGATAATTTCTCACGACCATTGACCTACTCCTTTTTAACTTCCAACTAACGAAGTATTGCCATGGTTCAACCGAATACATTTATCACTTCTTCATCAGTCAGTTAGTTCGGCACAATAGTCTGGAAAGACACACACACACACACGCACCCTCCCGCACAAAAATATAACAAAGCCAGTAGCTCACCATTTCAAACGGTCATTTGATTCATCACTCAATTAACTGTCATTTTGTACTGTTGTGACTTGTCGCCATTACACACAATTTAATGTACTCTTATCCCAGAAAGCAATTTTATGATTTCCGGTTGTCGTAAACCTGCCGACATCCACTTAGAAATTTTGATTGTCTAATAAAGGAATTGTTTATTAGCTCTTTGAAAAGGAGACGGCGTCCTAATGGATAGGTATCAATTTGTTCCGTTTGAAATGTGTGGAATTTGTCATCTATCCTCATTTGAAAGGTCCCTAATCAAAATCTTGCGTGTCAGAAGCGGAACATGTGCGCTAAATGTTAACGTTGAAAATGATCAAAGGGTAGGCTTATTAAAAATAATCCGGTCGCCCTATTTAGTATCGTAGCATATTTAGCATATAAATGCGATACTTCAAAATTCCGGGAGTCTCGCAGTCAACATCCGGTAGTATCGCAATCAAGTTCCTGTATTATTTTTGTCAACTTCCGGTTATCTAAAAGCTTGTTTTTGTATTCTGTGTGATGAGAAAATAGCGGTTATAATTGATATAAAATAAATGAAGTGAATTCAGATAATTATTTTGTTTATCATTTTCAGTTCAATAGATCGATTACTCGATTCGATTGATTGATTTTTTTATAGCGTCCCGCTTGACAAGATCGTTATGAAAATGGGTAGCTCTGAGAGACACAAGATTTGCTACAAAGTCAGACACTTAACACTGTTTAATATGATATAAATAAATTTGTAAATTGGTTTGACATACTTCTAAAACTATTTTATTGTATACAATACATTTGTTAGAATTATTTATGTGTCTGGAACGAAAATATCGAAATAGTCTGAGAATAATTCCTGAAATTGTCATATTTTCTGAAAATGTTTCCAGAGTGTCTGAGAATGGGAATTTATGAAATTCAAAATAAACACAATTATATGTTTATTGGCTCTTAAAGGGGTGTATTCTTCTAAATATATACCTAATTTTGATATATTTTTTGAAACCATATATAACTGGACACAATTATATAGGTAACAATTACTTTATCCATATAGTCCAGTTATATACCCAATTACTAAATGCCACAAAAAGAGCGTCTAGGAAACCAATGTTACTATAATAGGCCTATAATATCAGTTCTAATGTGAAAACAAGTTTGAAGTTTGAAATTTTGACAGAACTATAATATCGTTGCAATTCCTTTTCATTATTATAACATGTTTCATATCATTTATATAAAGATTCAGTTCTTTCAGACGTTAATGTAGATAGTTCCGAGATGCCGAGAAGTACTACGGCGTGTAGATCCAGTTCTATAAGATTAAAGGTTGATACTCCTTTAAACTAGTTTAAAATATGGCATCCATATACACCATGTAATTCAAAATATGTAGAAATTATCGTGGATATGACAGACCGTCACTCAACTTTATAATTTACAATTTTCGATTTCTGACATTAAAATAATACATACAAACGTCTGTTCTTAACATGATAAAATATACGCCTTTATTAAATTCTTTTGTTTGACAGGGAGGGGCCTTTATATGAGCCATATAATCCTCTGCCTTTGATAAGATTCGCTTGATTCTCGGTACATGTATTATTATCCTCTGCGTGGAACATAGACTTCTTCGATCCTAAAGGGTGTCCATGTCATCCTTGAGACTTTTTTCAACTAAAGTTAGCTACTGGTGACAACTCTCTGAAAATCAATTGCTCGACTAGGTGCAGAACTGAGCTCAACGATGACTGAAAATCTCAATTGATACTTGTCTTTGAGCGGAGAAGCGGAGAAGCTAACCTTTTCTGCGACCATTCAGCTACATTATTTGTAAATGTGAAAATTTTATCGATGTACGTCACCGTTCTCCCCGAGGTCTAAAAATGAACAGAAGCATCTCAAGTGCAAAATATTATTTTGAGACGAAGACACAGGTGCAAGTAAGTTTTGTAAATCGTTATGCACGCTGTGTGATATTAAATGTTCTTTATTTGATTAATTGCATACGCTTTAAAACAAAATTCACCCTTTTCACAAAACAGCAAATTATACTAATAGCAAAACCATGTATTAATAGAAAAAAACTGCAGAACCATATCCCTCTTGGCATGTGTCGTCATGTGTATCAAGCAAAGCAAGGCCATTCATGGAACAGGGATCAGAATACAGCTGAAATCTGTCAAAAACAGTTTAAGATGTAGACCTTACATTTCTTTGGACATAATCGGGTTAACATAGGACGAAGAAGTTCTCAGATTTTTAAAGTGTTCAATTTCTTTATTAAAATGATGAATTGAACTAGCCTACAGTGTAAATTTAGAATAGTTTGTCATCTAAAGATATTAAAGTAAGAAAGATCTTGAGCTTCAAAGAATCCAGTGTCAAAATTGACGACAACAGTATCTGTCAGTTTGTTTCTAAACTTCGTTAAATGAAAACAGATAAGTTTAAAAGATATTTGGATCTGTCTTTATCAGTCTAAGATACCAAAGAACGTTCAATTAAATTGTCACATTTTTACATTTCCTTTTCTCAGATCTACTTTGAAGCTTCACGAAGACAAAAAACGTAAAAGTCTTCAATTTTTTTTTATTTCAAAATCGTTTTTAATGTGTTTTTATGTAAAATAAGTTTGCCTTTTGTTTAACCTGAGCAATGTGTATAGTCGTAATAACCCTAGAGAAAAGAGGAGGAGGAGGGGGGGATTCGATGTTGGTTAAATCAACCGTCTCTCTTGATTAAAGATGAACCTGGTGATGTTTTCCATTCTAAAAACAGATAATTAACATAAAGATCATTTTCGTTTTGAAATAAATCTATTGTCTGTGCTGTAATAAATCATGTTTTAGAAATAATATATTATGTTTCTGTTATTTCACAATGATTATTTTCAAAGAATAACTGAAATTCTTACAGTAATTATGAGCGCCACAAATCAGCAAATGTTTTGTGAAAAAATGAAATTTAATGGCTTAGACTGTGTTACGACTGTTCAGGAATTACATAAATAATTCTTACAGACAAAATCATAATGACATCTTCATTATTTCTGTATGAAAAACTCCCTGAACATTTGAAACGGTTATTGCAAATATAGCGTCTTTATGGCTATTAAAATAACTTTCTTCGCTGCTGCGGCCATCTTGAAAATATGTGTGTATCCGAAGAGAGGTAATCTTATAAAGTTTAAATAAATCATCGCCATCTTTGAATCAGGACCATTTTGAAGATCAGCGGCAAGAAATAAACCAAGTACAAACGATCTGCAAAGCTAAATCCAAACTCTAGCCTCAAACAACAAAAAAGTTGTTACTGTATCATCAGAAAAAAGAGTATGCTTATGGTTTAAGAACAATCGATGCTATTCTGCTATTGGGCTTGTCGAATCATTACCCCTATCAAAGATCCCACATAGGTTGGCTAAAGTTGTTGTTACGTTCTAATGAGTGAATGCATTGATAACCCCTCTCAATCCACTTGCGTGTAATTTGAAATTTTGCAACGATTTTTCGCGCTTGAAATTTGTCAGAGCAACAAGATGAGAGAACCAGCTGGTTTTACCAGCCGCCACCCTGAGTATCTCATGGGCTACATTTTATGCCTGCTCCGTACAAAAACAATCTGAAAGGCAGAAATAATAAACAATATGTCCGTGTCATGAAACGATGATTTAAATTTGGCTTGTATTTTATATACTGTTCATTTGTTATTGCTTGGTGCAGATACAAAACGGTAGGGGAGATCTGGGCGTAACGTCCAAATGTTAATTTGATTAAATGAATGTTCATAGCATCAGATTGAAGATAAATTTAATTGTTCATTTTACGAAAATGGAATCTAGTTCTCAAGTTTTGAGGTTGAAGTTGGGAAGGTTTTGGTAGAATCGAAATTGTCACAGAAGACGACATGTAGGGTCTTTCTATTTTAGTACATGGGTTAAAAACAAGCATTCTAGGTCAAAATTTTCCTTGTCAATACACGTGTGCATCAAAAAATTGACAAGATTTGGACGAAGGTTCCAGAAGCCAGATGTAGAGAAGCTTTCATCTTAATCCATTTTTTGAAATATATTTATAAATAATGTTGAATATTGTATTATATAGAGTGTTCTATAATATGAGGTCAATATACCTGCATGTCGACACGCACATGAAATTCAAATGCTAATGACAGTTGAAGTATGTAATGTTTGAAACTAGAAGTATGATGATTCTAACGTACAGTCTGTGAATTGATAGATCACGTCTTTTGCATTATTATAATTCAGTAACATATGTCAATCATAAAAAACACGAGGGGATAAAGTAAAAGAAATATCATTGCCAGGTAAAACATGTCAGGTGAGAATGTACGCCTCATGAAATACTCTTTATAACTGCAAGTTTTATAGGTGAAACATAGTACTTGATGTCTTGTACAGTTATTGTTATTATAAGACTATAGTGGTGAGGTTACCTTATTATATGCAACAGTAAATAATTACAAACATTTTTGTCTTAACGTATCAGGAGTGAGAACGTAGTTCAGTGTTTAAAATTGTGAATTAGTCATTAGATGCGAAATTTGTTTAAAAAAAAAACGGCTGACAGTTTCGATTATACTTTTTAAAAGGTAGAAAAGAGTCTAGACAAATCTCTTTGGGAATCCCCCATTTTAAGAGGTGATAATTTTTTGTAAATCATCTGGTAGTTTGACTGTATTATTTAAGATTAAAAGTAACAAGAGTTTATGGAATTCTCATGTTATAAAAAAAGTTAAACTGGGATTAGAGGTAAAATTTGTTACAAATCAGTTAATAGTTTCGAATGTAACGTTAAAAGAATTAGAAGAGTCCAGTCAAATCCCCTTGGGAATCCCCTATTTTGAAATCTGCATCAGATGTGATATTTGGTGTAAATCAGCTGATAGTTTCGATTGTATTATTTAAAGGTACAGAAGAGTCTAGGGTTTAAAAATGTTGAATCTTTACGTTAGAGCCGAAATTTATTATATAACAGTTTGATAGTTTTGATTGTTTAAAAATGTTGAATCTATACAGTGGAGGCGAAGCTTATTACAAATTAGCTGATAGTTTTGATTGTATTATTTCAAAGGTAAAGAAGACTTTAGGGAAATTCCCTGTTAAATCTATACATTAGAGGCGAAGTTTTTTTTATAAATCAGCTGATAGTTTTGATTGTACTATTTGAAAGGTAGAGGGGAGTCTAGGGAATTCCCCTGTTTTAAGAATAATATGACCAAACATAATTTATCTCTATCAAAATCTTCTTCAATTCTCCAATCAAAACATTCAATAGATTCTTCTTCAATATAAAACATCTGGAACCTATTCTGGTACTTTTTATTCCGTAGATAATATCCCCAACTATTTTCTCATATCACGAAAACGGTATTCGTTTTACAATCGCTTGAAAAACACTACATGAATACAGTCGTCGCATTTAGTTGAATACCGTTTGTTTTTAATTAACTAAACACGAACTAATGCCATTTATATCAATATTATATTAGTCTTTATTATTGTAGTTGAACAAGAGAGGCTTTGAAAGATCAATTTCAGCCAAAGTTATTTGTTGGATTTTTTTAAATCGACCGAACACGAAATTATAGTATTCATGCATCACAATTACAATTTTCAAGATCAGAATCAAACTTTGTCAAATATATACGATTATACATGAAAAGGTGCCGACTGAAGAATATTCTTCAAGATGGTTTCTTTCTGCCGTCATACCTGGAATAACCCCACCTCTTTTCTTTTATCTTGTGTTATTTTTACCAACAAGCATTGTTGTCTATGTCCACTTACCTCCCTTTTATATACCTTGATAATATTTATAGTCGCTAGGGGGAGTAGTAGGCGCCAAACGACTTCCGAGTTGTTAAAGAAACAAAGATGGTATTTAGTAAATGTTGAAGGTTTGAAGACAACAAACATGGTGGAGAATTTAATCTGGTAATAGAATCGGTGAATAAATACTAGAGGCAGTTGTTGAAATAAAACCAGTTGTTGATCAGTTTTACTTGAAACATCATCATTATCTGAAGAACTTGAATTACTTTTTTTCGGTTTACTAGTTGGTTCCTGGATGTCAAGTTAACGTCCTTTTTCAGCTAACTGATATTGCAGACCAAGTAATTGTCGTTCGGTGCTGATGGTTTGCAAGTTGAGTTCACACTAAGCGAACCCTTTGTTAATATGCTTGTCTGAGAATTTTGGACCGAAACACGTATCGGTAGCATGAGATGATATTATGTGTTCGAGTCATCTGATTGGCCAATTACTAAAATCGAACTTTAAGCTAGCTTTATGGACCATTCAAATTTTATTTCTATTTGGAATTCTATTTGTTTATAACACGACCAAGGAAGCATTCTATAACCTTCCAGCAAACAATTGGATTAAAACAGATTAACAAGAATGCTGTAATGTAAAATTTGATATCTGAACTCGTGTGTAAAAATTGTACTGAAAAACAAACATGGTTGTGACTTTATCGGAATTTACTTTTCATTTTCCTTTGAGATGTTCGAAATCAAAGATGACACGGAGCAGGTTTGTTCTGATAAAAACTTATTAATTTCGTTATTAAAGATGATATTTGAACAGCACCATCGTGATTGGTTTTATACAAATGTTCATGCTCGAAACTAATAGTTCAAGAATACAGACACGTGCAAACTAAATGCATAAACGTCGTTCTTTTACATGTTCTCCAATATCAGATATTAAAGTCTGTTGTGGTGTACTTGTGGAAGCGTATAGAAGCACCACACGAGACTGAATAACAGACCAGACAGGGTTCATGGTTTTCAGTTGTTAGTTTATAGAAACCCCAGCCATCACTTAACCACCAACTGTGTGTTACAAAATAGGGTGTGGTCTATTGTTGTACATATATTAGAAATATAACTGTCTAGAAATTAAATGGCCAACTTACAGAAGCACCGGATATTAACTAACTTTATGTTTCAAACGAACAGATGTTTCATAGTTGCAATTATTGGTAAAGACTGTTGTAGAAGATACTCTCTTATAGAAGTTTTACGGGTATTATTACTTTCGTTGCTTTTAACGAGAAGGAAAAAGTTACAATATCATACAAATACATACAGATATTTTTACTAAGGGTTATAATGATTGTGTACTGTATCAAACTGTAGAGTAAAATATGTTATTTGAGATAAAACGTTAGTACACAATAGTCCTGTCAATCACCGTCTTACTCATCTACATTAAATATCATTCCACTAAATTAAATAGTGCACGTGTTCATATTAGACACCAGAAACAATGGCTGCTCGTTTCAATCAGGGATACGTCGAGATCTCGTGCTGGGCGCTTAAAACGAGACCGTGATGCTACAGAAATTAAAATACATGTTTGCATTTAATTTGAACAAAGTTTGTTTCGTGTCGTGTCTTCTAAGACGATACATAGATTTGTGTCTTGATCTCGAAATGAAACAATCGTTTTGCAGGCAGTGAGAGAACTGATATGTTCATATATCATTAACGAGTTTTGAACGTGTGTTCATATATACAAAATAAAACGTATATATGTCTACATGCAAGCATGTTGGTTGGGCGGTTTGAAAACTACGTAACATCATGAACATAATAACATATTATATTGGTTCCTGATACAGGATAATCTGCTAAACGTGGATACCCAATGATCAAAAGAGTAGTTAAAATAATGTAACCTCTATGACATGACACCTTGGTATGCAATGGAGAATCAATGAACAAAAAGAAAGTAAATATGACTGACAGATGAAGGTAATGGTAATAAATCCTTAGAGTTGATCAGATGATAGAAACTAGGCGTTGGTTGTAGATTGTCAGATTGATATACAGTAGAAATATAGAGTATATGATATAGACGATGATAAACAAGGTTATAAACCATCATTATACCAGTCAATATCAATAATATTATATCATTTATAACGTTTATTGGTGATTATCAGTAAATCGTAGAGGGGATCCTAGCAGTGGTGTTTCCCCCAGATCTAAGGCTAACACGAATTCCATCCCTCAACTTACACAATTCATATTTCTTATTATTTAGTTCTTAAATTCCTGGTGCTTACAATTCTTAGACATCACTTTAGATCTTAGACGGAAACATGTTACTTGCATGAATGCTTTTTCCAGATGCAAAATGTATGTCAGAATCTGGAAGCAATGAACATAGCAATATAAGCAAAAGGGAAAAATATAACTAAAGCATGATTAGATGATCAATTTGCCATTTTGTATTTTACATTTCAGTTCATACGTACAAGCCATGGCATGTATTCACAATTTAAAAAGTGTTTGTCCAAAAGAACTTTACCCAAAAATACAGAGGTCGCTAGTGAATCTGGAAGGAGCTAAAGAAGGTCTACAAGATCTGTGTTTTGATGATTCATTGTATGAACGTAAGTTTATTCTTAATTTAACCTCTTTTCTATAATCTATTTTGTTTCTTATTTTTCATGTGCAAATTTTTCGTCTTATAGATTTAAGTTTTGTCTTGATTTATATAGCTCTATGCTTTGCGGGGATTTCTTTCTATGTTTTGTAAATTGGGTTCTCCCATATGTGATAATTATACTAAGGAAAACTACAAAAAAATTCGGGTAAAGTAGCGCAGCGTTTTGTCAAATTTCGCGTCAGTGGTTTCACACCTTTAATGAATAAATTTCCGCCGTTTAACTGCCAATATCCTATACAAAGGTCCAGACTACATAAAATATAATAGAAAGGAAATCGAAAGTAGACAATGACATGATCTATAGTCCGATATATTTGTTCTTTTTAAATTACAGACAAAATAGTTTTAATCATTACATTGTGTGAATATTCTCTCTGATCAATACTAGAGGTGATAGGTCACCATTATTTCAATAGTTTTTAATCAATTTAAATCAAGCTTTTGTTGATTTTTTTTTCGACATTATTAAAGATAGTAGACCATAAATTATTGAGATTTAATTAAATTCCTTTTGATTTAAAAAATAACAATTGAAATATGATCGCAAATGGATTTAAATAAATTGAAATTGTCCCTACTACTGTTAATGACTATCATAACCTGAAATGGAAAGGAAAGAAAAATCACTACATGTTTTATACAATACAACAGAGTCCAGTTTTATAAAGAATAATTTTAGCGTTCCAGTAATCTTATTGGACAATCAATAAAATCGATTTTAAATCTATCTTTATTAGCTAATAAGATTATTGCATTTCCCCAAACAGGACCCAGAGCAGAAGACAACGACAACAAATATAGTAGAAGAGGTCGCAAAATACCAAAATCTTCCGTCCCAAGTCTTCCAGATTCTCAGTAGGACTTATTTTCGTTTTCGTTTTGTCAGTAGGTGGTATTAATGATTCTACTATCGAAGTATTAAAATCAAATGGTTAACATACGTTTTAATGGGATTGTAGAGTAGATGAAATTTTCACACATGTAGCAAACAAATACCGCGAAAATAACACAGCAGAAGACATTTTCCAGATCTTAAAAGGGAGATAATTTGTTATTGTATTGACTGGTAGTTTATAAACAATGAGTAGTTTATGTTTTAAACGTGATGAGAATCTGTCAACAGAATAAACTCATTACCATATAGTCTTTCATCTGATCGCTCTTAGTTTATATATACTAGCATTGATTTGACCTCCAGTGGTAACTTGTCTTCTCAAAACTTTTTCTCATACTTTTGTTATGTCTTGTATGGTGATAAATTCAAGTCTTAACTGAGTTACATCAGAGGCGCACTCCATTATTGTGGTTGATTTTCATCTTATGACCATTTCTCTTGTCCAGTTAAGTTAGGAACGCAATCAGAAAACCTCAAACTCCGATTAAATGTTTTATGGAATCTAAGGAAATTAGGCAGGTTTAATTAATGCCTAAACCAGCTATACCAGCTAATCCAGAATCATATCATTATGTCACTGGGGTCAGTTAAATTCTTATGAAATTTAAAAAAAAAATACTGAGATTAATTGTTGAAACTGGAATTGGAGAATGACTTTAATGTTAGATCTATATAAGTTAGAAAATGAAACCATACAGAATTTAGTCCAATTCCAGGAAAGTATTAATAATTGATATACAATAGTATGACTTGTCCATTAGTCTACATTATCTGGTCAGTCGTGTAGGTCTTCAATATTAGGTTAATGACCACTTCTTGCATACAGTGACCATCATTTCATATTTCTTTATAGATCCAATGGATTTAGTGTTTTAATTTTCTGTTCCTTTTTGGCAGAATCAATGAAGTTTTCAGCACTTTTTCGGGACAACAAAGCATTTCTTTGAGTAAGGAGCAATGTTTTTGCTGAGATTGCTGAACACATTCTAGATTCCCTATTACAACTCAACCTCTTGCTTTCTGATAGATAGTTTGACGCTACTAACAAAGCTAATTCCACGGAAGTAACAAAATGTTAGTCAACAGTCATTTAGAATTCGAAAACGAAAGTCACGAGAAAGCTTTGATCTCAACAACAATTATTATTACTGATTATATCCCCGGTTCCCAACCTGAGGTGTTTTCAACCCCTGGGGGTGTGGGAATAGGGTGTCAGGGGTGTGGCTAACTGATGTAGCAGAAGGATTTATTTTGAATTGAGAGTGCACTTCACATCATTACATGCTGGAAATGTAGATGAATAAAATTTTAATGTGCAGGTGATTGCTCTAGGGGTGTGAAGGCTGAAAAAGGTTTGGAACCACTGGCCTATATCAAGGCAGAGTATGTATGCACGCCATGTCTTTGAAAAGAACACATAGAATACAATGGCTATTTTGGTATATTTATTACGCAAGAAACCGAGATATAAAACAATAGTATAAGTTAAATCCAGATGTAAATTCACAGTGGTATCGTCTGACGGACATGTTGTATTAATAATTTATATAAATATACCAGCATTTATCTGAAACTTTACTCTCTATCGTTTTTATACTCAACTCTTTACAACCTGCTGTGGTCGGGATATAACTATTTTATTTCCCACTGTCAGCCTCTTTAGTCAGCCGGCATTGTTGTTCTTTGTGAAGACATGCAGTTTCACTTACGAAACCATCATCTCAACAAGGAGCTTGAATTAGTCAGAGTACCGAATGTTTCCAGGGTATAACTAATGAGCTTTCCATTGTGTAGCTCTTTAATGGGCTCGTATCGTGTTCTTTGCCAAGACAAGGTTGCAGTTTCAGACTCGAAACCATTTTCTCATGGGCTGCATATCAGTCAGACTGGGCGTCGGTTGTTGCAGTCACTTACCCATTCTCTCAACCTGACGCTGGGATAAGTCAGAGTGTTTACGTACTCTGTCTGGCTATAACGAAAAGTCTTATAACCTCGGAAAAGACATCGTTTTTCAGTAAGGTTACCAATTTACTGGTTAATGTTTTCCCCCTTTTCCCATTACACGTTACGATCGCCTAGCCCTATCTTGTTCAGTCTTGTTAAGGTAGGGGACAATATCACATCCGTATATCATGTCTGCGGAACTGTAAGGACAAGACAGGTCGCGATGTTATTGATTCGTTCAATTTAAGAAGTATTCTACGATAATTTATGAAAACTGAAAGTAAACTGGACGCGGTATGAAAAAAGGAAGAACCAGTCTGGGGTTACCTTTAAACTTTCAAACAAGAGATAAAAGTCTTTGGTTTCATTCTTTTTTTTACAAATGATGCATCGGAATGTCTTCTAAAAGATAGATTGCCCCGGAGATGCATATATCACATAACGCCTTTTAAATAGCAGGTGAATCATATTTCGCTCTTTAACTCTTGTGTAACATCAAATACATGGAATCGGTACAAGAATGCTGTGTATTATTTTGTAAACATTTTCTTTATCATCTTGTAAATGGCAGGAATTTTCCTGTAATAATTTTTTGCCAATACTCCAATATGTTCGCTATAATATCATCATTTTTATAGGCAGCCTTTATATGTATTCCCTGTACATTTTCTGGTAGATGTTCGTGATATCATTAAATAACACCCAAAATTCTGCTGACTGATTCAGAGATTTCATACTCTTTAGTCTGCAACCATCGTCGTTCAAACCAAATATCAATAAACAGATATATGAAATAGTTTTGAACATGTTGAAAATACTATAATCAAATGGTCTGCCTCACGACATACTTCGAAGCTGACCCAATATTTTTCAGAGATTAAACCTATTTGATTCGATAAAGGGAGTTGAGTTAAGGAGATACAGGCCTAACACGAGTTTTGCTAATGGTGCAGAGCAGAAGCAAGAATTAGAACAGACGGACACATTTCGCGATGTATATCAACTCAATAAAGCTTCGAACAATAGATCGCTAAGCTAACTTTATTAGCCAAATAAGTACAGAATAGTAGGACGGAAATCTCAATCACTACCCCCAGAGCGAAAGCAAATAATCGGACGTTAAACCGCGTTTGAAACCTACTTCCATCCAGATAAAAAAAATGTACCTGGATGATGTACAGAAAAGTGGTTGTAGTAAATAAGGTAACGAAAATAGCAACAAATTGTAAAAACAGACTGGCAGAAATAACACTTGGTAATCTGATGAGATTTTAACTAACTATTATTATTATTATTATTATCTCTACACAATACGGTGTTTATCAACATTGTCTGTCTACAGCATCAAGCCAAGTTTACACTACCAGCACCATGGAGCCAAATTACAAAGCCACATACAAATTTTCACACCATATTCTAAACATGTCAAGCCACAATTACACCATCATGAAGCCACGTTCGACTTTTCAAAAGCCACATAAGATACGCCTTCGATGATATCAAGTCACTTAAACGCCATAATTGACATTATGTCGACATTATGCCAGTGTTAGATATATTTCCATATTCAAAACATTGCGCATGACATAGCGTGTTTCAATTGATCCCGTCTTGTAACAAAAAGCATCATCGGTTTTAATAAATTCTCTGATAAAGAGTTCTTGTAGGTGTTGATAGGTTTTGTTTAACAACTATTTTTGTTTTCATTGCTTTGCCAAAAGGTGAGAAAACCAACAATGATCAGATGAAACAGTCTGACATACATGTATCTTTCGTCTGAGATGTAATTTAGCTGTGACTGGCTCGTTGATTGATTTCACTCCTTCTTAAAGATACTTTCACACCGTCGATATCTTTCTACACTAGAGATAAGTCGGTATGGAATTGGATTGACTTCGTCTAAGTAATTAGAGTGAATTAGGTTCGAATCACCCTCCGTATTTCCGATGCTACGACAAAAACATTCGGTAGTCACGTGGGACGTGATTCTCATATGTATCATTTCACCCAAATTGGTAGATAGAGAAAATAGGACCAATTTCACAGAATGAGTCAAGTCAACAGAGCAGTCTGATGCACTGCCCTGACAGAATTACTATGATTGC